AAATGCTTCCTGCATTGACAGCGGATTTTGTGACAAATGGGAGGTGGTGGCGGGCCGAAAAAAACGTGGTTTATGACTAAAAAAGGTCATTTTAAATTCCACTTAACTTGTGGACCGAATGTGTCGTGTGAGACACACTGAAGCCACCTCCCTAATTCGTTCGTGCATTTTCGCAATTTATGGGTAAACTAAAACCCTACTTCCACTTCCCAAGCTACCAGGCAGGTTTTAAAAAAATCGCAGTGAAATTTTTAGAATTTTACTACTGACGTACTTTTCTCTGCTGTCAAACTCCCATTTAACGAGGCACTGATACTTGATGCCTCGGTGTTTCCTACTAATTGAGTTCAGTTTTAAAATGCTGGAAGACTTTTTCACAGTAAATTTTATGTGATTAGTTCTGATTGGTTAAATGATGCCATGATGCTTAGATTAATGCCAGCGTTAACCATTTAAATGTTCACTCATGAAGAAAGTCACATTGCACATCTAAAAAAATTTGGCTTAGAAGCCACATTTTTCGATTCCACACAAAGTACTCCAATTTTTTTTAATGTAAGGCTATACTCCCGATTTTGGTTATTATCTCTGCATTCAACAGATATCACAAGACAAACAAAGGTAGTAGTACACAAAAATTTAAGTGACTTAGAGACAGTATGGTAAAATCTAACGGTGGTGTTAAGCAACGAGTTCTTTTTTGAGCAGCATTAACTGACCCTAAAAGGTCTTCCTTTTTAACTAAATTAAACCAACTTTTCATCTTTTATAAAAACTTGAAATTTTAGCACCGTCATTTGTGTTGATATAAAACAGATACCAAGTATTGGTTTTCAATAAATTTTTTGGTTAATAGTTTGTAAAGTGCGTTTAGTTTGTGAACTGCGTCCATTACTTTAAAAAGCCCATAAAGTGAGCTAGTTGAGTGTCGTTTTTCTCTAGTAGTTAGCAGTGTGACAGTCCTGCTAGGCTCGCTGTTGTAGGGGGCAGTTACCGAGTGGCTGAGACACTAACAGTCACTTAGGACCATAAAATATCACGCAACACACACATAAATAAGACTTTCCTTTAACTTAACAAATAATATATATTTTAAATATTTAAATCCTCGTGTGTCTGTTAAGGGAGAAGGCAATACTGAATACTAGCTTAATAAGTTCTCAGCTAAGGCTTCCACCAATGATTACATGTTTCTGCGCGTTTGATAATCAAGAAAACTACACCTCTGGCTCGTTACTTGAGGGTTTTACTGAATGCAAATCCACACTCCCCTAGTACAAACATCGACTTACGTTCATTTATTCTCAAAGGGTTTTTAATTTTAAATATATTCACGTTTATTAAAAAAAAATGACTTGGAATTGGCCAATACGAGAGTTAAGTGAGGTAATGAGGACTGGTATTTTCCGAAAACCGAACATCGGATTTCATTTGAACTGATTAGGTCAAGGAGACCACAATGGCCATGAACTTAATTTCACCTTCTTACAGATCGTCTTAGATACCTTTAAATTAATTAGGAAATCCATCTTAATGTGTTTTACAAAATGCATTTAATAATAAAGTTTTATACACACTAAAAACAGGCGGTCATATGTTATTTCTTTCCCTTCTAACAGCGGATAACACTGAGAAGAACTACTAATTTCAGGAACATGTTCTTCTGAACACATTTATCATTCTAAAAAAACGCTTACGAACACATTTTTATTAAATTTTATAAGTTGTCGTTTTTTGTGTTCCACCTATTTCATTGCATGTTCATTATTTTTTTTTAATACGGGGAATTTTTACCTTCTAAATTAGAGTACCATGAAAAAATTTGATTTTTACGAGCGGGTCCAAAATAGACTTTAAAATTTGGTTAATGGTCACCAAATTTCTTACTGAAGAAAAATTACTTCAAGATATTTGGTTAAATTTAAGTGAATCCCAGGTATCTATTAGAAGCAAACACGATAGAATTCAACATGAGAATTTGGCTAAAGCCCTTGGGATGCCATGCAGTACTATTGCATGATCAAAAACGTAGATTTTTCGAAATACGTGGGCAAAATCAACGCTGGAAAGAGTCAACATTATAAATTACACATCAAAACTTTAATGCCGAGGTCTAAATTTTGTTGCACTCTATAAAGATATATATTGAAAAGAGCTTAGCAACAATCTCATGCGAGATGGAAGACAGAAGAGCAAGGTAAGAATTGCCAAATTACAAGCAGTAAACAGTGCATCCTGTTTAATATTCAAAAGATGCACTAGTCAGACACAAAAAGGTGAGATTCTGCCACAACTCGCTTCCAAAAAGTGCTGAATTATATGTCGCAAATTAATAATGAAAAAAACCGATTACCATAGACATGCGTTAATGCAGTCAAAACAAAACCATCGGATTAGGGAAAGAAAGTTCACTTCTCTAGCAGAAAGCGTTTCTTTAAACACAGTTAACGGTTAATTTAAAAAAGATTTTTAAATCTTTTAATTTAACAGATTTTTTTTAAACTTCGAACACCAAGACAATTTGGCTACTTTTTGTCAAAGCGTAAAAAGTGTCTAAATATATGGATTAAGGCTGTAATTCACAACACAAATAGTTGATTCGTCCACATTTAAGAACCATACACTTTTTATCTTCTTCCTGTTTTCGGAGAGTACTTCAAATATGACGCTTTACTTACTAAAAAAGTTTAATACACCCTATAAAAGCTGCTGTGCCAAGAAGGTCTATGAAGCGAGTTTTCGAAATAGATAAAAGAAAAGATTTTTGAGATCGAAATTTAATTAAAATCTGTACTTACCGGGAGTAGTTTTCTGTCATTAAATATATTTCAAATGCCATTGTAAATACGTTGCACAGAAAAATCAGAAGGGCTAAACATCATACGATTACACGTAGATTTTAATGCAATAAATGAACCAAACCAATAGTTTCTTATTGAGAATAAAGCAAATTTAAGTCCAATTTGGCCGCGTAAAAAATATGTATAATTTTTACTCAAACGAGTCCAAAAAAGAAGGAGGGCAATGTCGAAATATTCATTACTGGTATACGTTAACTGTGCATTCGGTTTATTTTTTAAAAAATACTGTGGTCGCATAATATTTAGGAATTAAACTATGCAAGCATTATAAATATAATGGTAAACTCAAATTCAGCACAAAAACGACATTGACTCGCTATTGCACAAAAATAAATTAATCAGTACATATTCTATGTGTTTTGGTCCCAATGACACTAACAAAATGTTAACGGTAAAATTATAGGGGATTTTCATGGAAAGAATGAAGATGTGGACAATTTAATGAGCCTTCTTTAAAAAGGAGTTTAAAAAAGCTAGCTAAACATTCACGCTTTATTACCAGTATTACAAATTCATGTTAAATGAAAAAATCATGAATGTTAACTTACAAAAAGTCGAATATTCACAAGAAGTGATTAAATAACGCGCTGTAACATTAATTTTTCTTTGAGTCCTTTTTCAAGGTCGAGTTTATAAAGCAAAAAACAAAACAAAAACATTTTTTGTGAGAAAATTGACCGCAGCAATTTTTCTTGCAGTATGTTTTATAAAGATGTGTTAAATAAAATCATTATTTTATATGTGCTTGACTTGCATGGATTTTCAACACATTGTAATTCTGTGAGCAATACCTTGCCTAAAACGTCTACCAAATATGACTTTTAGACTAATGGGCCTATTCGGCAGCTGTAGACCCTGACCAAGATTTAAATCGAATCGTAAAACAATTATTCCATCAATCATGCTTAGATCAAAAAAGGACATAAGAGAAGTAATCAAGAAAACTACTATATCAAGGTGTTCATGGAGGCGGCTATTTGTAGGGATTTATATTTTGCTCGTTAAAACAGTGATGCGCATATATAATATACATTAATCATTGGATTAGCCTGCATGAACCGACGAATGTGGGCCCCAGAATGTGGTCTTGAACCACACCGGGGCCAAGGAATTAAACCTGGCTCAATTACGCTTTCCTGATACCTGCTATAAAGAAAACAGACTAGAGAGGACGTGGACACTAACGCTTACCTCACAGCTCAACCGAATTTGGTGTCGTTGTTTCGTGTGTGGGATTTTCGCGTGTGAATTTGTACCTCAGATGCGTAATCCACCGATGCGTTAGCATCGAGGCCTAGGTGTGAGGATAATCCAAAAATCCGTATGAATGAGGAAAAAAATAAAGATTCGCGTGGCTGGCGACACGCTGCGAAAAGGAAATCATGTGTCGGAGGCTGGAATGATAGAATAAACGAGTACAAGTCAAACGAGTACATGACAAAATTAATATAAAATCCAAAAGCAAGTTAGCTTACTGTTTACTGTAAGAGTAGGGTCGTGCGTCAAAGCAAAGGAACGAAGTCGAAATTACCGTAAGAGATATGACAGCATTTATTCCAAAAGACCTAAATTTTGTTATTTGAAAATACTAAAACATTTTGACATAAGTAAAATCAAACAAGTAAAAATCTTAGCTCAATTATTGGGTAAAATCCAAAAGCTGATGCATTGACAATAAGAAAATACCAAAATTAATCGCAGAACATGGTTAAATTTTTTTCAATCTTAGCCCAGCTTAAAAAAGCAAAAACATTAGTTGTCGTTATTAATCCTGGAGGCATGTAAGGATGTTTCTTGATATTACATTTTCGCAAATACCACTCATTAATTCAATTTATTGTCTCATGTGCAGCAAATAAATTGGGAAACCTAAAGTGCAACTGAGATCATAAAATTAGAATAATAGCAGACGTTTATGAATGCCGTATTTGTTATTCTTCAAATTTCTGAGGATATTTTTGTGTTTGACCCAGGAATCATTCTTCGCAGTTGTTTAAGCTGTTGTGATAAACTCCGCTTGCTATGAACCACCGCCGGCATTTAGTTTTCTACTTGTTGATTTTAATGGCTGGGCCCTTGCATTGACAGTAACTTGCCTCATAAAGCACTGCTTATTTAAATATTCATTGAAAATTGTTGATGGGAAAGAGGCTCTCTAAACAGCGCCATAAGCCCCGCTTCACAAAAGTTCAAATACCTTGGCTGATTCGTGGTGTTATTCGTAGTAATAACATTGAAACTATGCAGTATCTGCTCAGCTACCCAAATGATGTAAATCCATGTGTTGTTATTGATGGGGTGTGCCCACTTAATCTGGCGATTGAGCTTGGCCACCTGCAGATGGTGAAACTTTTGATCAAAGCTGGTGCAGATATTCATGTCTCAGATTCTCCCCGGTACCCTCTCCATCAGGTAATACCTCTTTGTCGGTGTTTTTTTATTTTTTTGCTCCATAATAAGTCCTAGTCTTTCTAGGCTTCTCTTTATGGCCGTGCTGCAATTGCCGAACTTCTCATATGCTCTGGGGCTAAAGTGTCCGTTTTAACTGAGCGTCATCAATCCTGTCTCCACTTGCTTGCAAATCAGTCAGCAGAACGCTTTGTCGAAACTGCTCGTGTTCTTCTCAATCATGGCTGTGATCCTAATAATTTAGATGACGACGGTTTGGCTCCCCTGCATCGAGCCTCAGTTGAGATGGTTGAAGTTTTGGCGTCGGTGAGCAAACTTTATTCGCCTTTCTATAATAATTTTATCGAAAACAACGGACTTGTTTCGTTTATTGTAGTCCAAAAAAACAGACTTGAACATTCTCAGTCAAAATGGTGATACGCCATTATTGGTAGCCGCGAAAGATCGGCGAGAATCTGTCCTTCTTGCCCTAATCCGTGTGGAAATGGAACATAAGCAGTCCGCAACAACGACTACTGCCGTTTCTGCTATTCGAACTCCATCTGCAAAGTCAGCGAGTTCTGCAACTTCCCGGCTTACCATGGTGTCCAGTGGTGGCTCACCAAATCGGCCAACCGGCTGGGCTATGCGCGTTTTCAGGACGCCTTCTGCCGCAACGGTCCAGCTCAACCGCGTTGGCAGCCCTCATTCCACTCATCAGCAGTCAGTCAGCTTCAGGTCTACCTCAAACAACGTCGCTGCTGCTTCGTCGTTTTCCTCCTCTGTGTTAAATTTCAATTCACAGCTTGCTGCGCCATCGTCTGCACACGACGTCAGCTTGCAAAGTTTTGCAAATTTCAGAAAGAGTATGTGATTTGCCACTAATCCATTACATTTTATCAGTTGGTTTCTCCTTGTGTTAAAACGTTGTTGCGCTCTTAGTTATAATGAAATTTGCATGTGGTGGAATCGTCTAATTTCTTCTTCACCTGCTTTAAACCTAGCTAGACAAGGGCAGTTCTGGTATACATATGGTGTGGTTACCTCGAAAAGTGATTTATAAATAATTGCTTCTCTAAATCAAGTACGATGCCTATTTCCGAGTCACCTAGGGATCATCTAATTTATCCGTTTCCGCGCTCCACTTTAATGAACCTGGTGTTCTCTTAATATCCAACCTGCCAAGCCTTTTGTCGAATGCTCACAGGTCAAATAATTTTTCATGAGCATGATTCTCTGATTCTCGTCCCTTGAACATGCCCATTAATTCTCTTCCAAGGTGTACAGTGTATAGTTTAATGCTCGATTCGAGCTTTTACTTTTGCTTTGTTTTTGTTTTGTTTTAGAGAATCCACCAACACTAGAAGCCATGCCCGATTCACTGACTATCCAAAAACCCACCGAAAAACCGATAGAATCTCGGCTGAATTTGAACCAACCAGACAATGTCGGTATGCGTAGCAGCAGTTGTCTTTGATTGTCTTTTCTTGTTGCATATTCAGAACCGCAGTACAGCTGGACAGATGTGATCACAATGTTTGTGGATTTTAGCGAATTATGTGTAAAGCTTTACTGCCTAGCTTAGAGGACTTTAATTTGGTCATATTTAGGTCGAAAATAACTGGGGAATGTACCAACGGGCAAAGAATCTTACGAAGAATACTCGATATGAAGTGCACGTTTGATACACGTTTGATCCTTACTTGCTTAGCTTAGATATCGCGCATGCTGGAATAAGTCGGTTGCCAAGTCTCCTGAACACTGTGGTTTTTGGCTCCAGTAACTTCTTTTGTAGGATTTCGTTTCTGTTGGGCACGAATTATCGATCTAGTGGAATCGGAATCCCCGTAGCAAAGTCAATTTGTTTAGAGTGCTCTTAAAATGCACCTGTAAGTTTTTACCCGAAACTAATCTTCTGCTCTGAACACTACAGTATTCTTTCTCTGCGAAGAACTAGTCTTAAGGTAATCGATATCCTCCCTTATCGTCTCCCTGCCGAAGGAAGCAATTGGTTGTATGACCGTGGGGGTGTTACAGCGACTCAATGTAGTATTCACCAATCAACGGAGGCGTGATTTTAAAGAAGAACACCATTTTCAGCAGTTTGCAATGCCGAAAGATATTGTGCTCAACAAAAGTGCGCTTCTGAATGCAGGAATGACACCGTTGATGCTGTGTGCTGAAGCCGGACCAAGTGGCTTTCGGATGGTGTTCGGTTTGGTTTCCGCGGGATGTGACGTCGCCGCGGTGGACAAGATGGGCATGACGGCGCTGCACTACGCCTGCTACGTTGGCGCTGTGCTCACCGTGCGATTCCTCCTCGAAGATGCCTTCGAGTTCTCTGAAAAGCGGCCATGCGATCTCCTCAACCTCCAAGTGCGTCCGATTATGCTGGGCGTAGGGATTTGTTAGTAAAGTTAAGTCACTTTTGCCTACGAGAGGTTTTCTCCCTTTCACAGGATCGTTTTGGACGCACACCGATCTACCTCGCGACTTGCAGAGGACACACGGACGTAGTTGAATACCTCCTGTCTTGTAATGCGGACATTCACATACCTAACAAAGAACTCAAGTCTCCCCTTTATATTGCCGCAAACTTTGGCCACTTGGATATCGTCAATGCCCTACTCCGACATGGCGCGCATGTAAGTTACTTTCTACTTGCTCCTCATCAGTAGTAAGTATATTATCGAGTGTTCCGTCCTATCGAAGTGTTTTGTATTCTAGGTTAACCAGGCTGACTCGCACCAGAAGACTCCACTCTACGTGGCAACGTACCATGGTCGGGCGGACATAGTCTCCCTCCTCCTCGATGCCAACGCTGACGTGAATGCGTCCGACAAGAACGGCAAGACCCCGCTCTACGCCGCCGTCCTCCACGGTCACCTGAACCTCGCGGCAAAGTTGCTGTCTCACGGCGCCTCGGTGAACCGGCCGGACAACGAGGGCCTCGGGCCGCTGCACATGGCCGTCAAGTTCCCCAAGCTGGACCTGCCGATGATCAAGCTTCTGCTCCAACACGGCTGTGATCCCGTCAACCTCGCGGCCTTCACGCGCTGGCTCATGGGCCACGGGGTCATCCCGGAGGAGTGTTTCCAGGGCGACGGCGAGTGGCTGGCAGAGTGGCTGCACCGGGAGGAGTCGAATGTGCGCTCACTGAAGCGCCTCTGTCGGGCGGAGATCCAGGCGGCACTGGGGGTCAGCCCGAGCGGTGGCAGTGACGCCTCGGTGGCCTCCACCGCCGCCAAAATCAGGCACCTGCCGCTGCCCGAGCACCTGAGGGATTTCGTTTCGATGAAGGCTCTCTGAGAAGCGCAGTCTCGTGTCGGAGGGAGTGTGGTGTGCGCGTGCGCGTGTGTGTGTGTTTGGTGCGTGCGGTCTATCGTCCCAGGCATTTACTGATATACTTCGTCGTCGTTGTCGCCGTCGTCTTCGTGAGCGAGTTTGCTGTTGTCGTCAATCGTGGTGCATTTTTACACTGTACATTATGTCAATAAAACCTGAATAGTTTTAAGCCTGAAGAGAAATCGTCTCATTGCACATCTATGATAATGTACTACAAACAGGAAACGTCTAATGGAACTAACGTGCCATGCTTCTCAGTGAATTCAGTGACTTGCATTTCTTGCAGTATGTATTCGGTTCGTCTTATTGCGTTCTTGACCGAAATCAACAACTTACATTGACGTCAATGGTGGCTACTCCTTTAGTTATGTGAGGAGGTTTCGCTTCCGCCGCTTTTATTTAAATACCTTGAAGAACTTAGATTGGCTGATAATTGTAAGCCTTGACTAGTTTGTCCGCGCTTTGCGTCACTAGCTTTATTTGTATTCATTTCTAAAGTTCTGTGTGGAATCGCCATTCGGCTGGGATAAAATTGAGTCTGAAAGCTCCAAGTCGAGATTCCTATAGATCGTAGGTCTAAGAAACGCGGAAAACTGGACACCAGGAACTCTGAGCGTTAGGTCTTTGCAAATTCGCTGTTTGTTCATCACTAGGAAACAGCCACGGTACTTCGTAGTTTATGAAGTCCACCAGCAGAGCGCGTTGCTGTTTAAAAAATTGTAACGCGCCTACCAAGCGGGGGCCTAAATAGGGAGATGACTGTTAGCCCGTCCCTCTTAGATAGCCACAATATCATGGTTAGCTACCAGGCACACGATAGAAGAATAGCTGGAAGAACCGGATGTATTCCATACTACCGCGTACAAACTCAGAGGGCTAGAGCTTAGGGAGAGTTAGAGTGGGGAAAGTGATGGCCGCGAGGAGGGTTGGTGTTACCCTCGGACTCACGAGCGTGCCTTGAGGAAGGCGAGAGTGCGGGAAGGGAGAGGAGGATAAAGAACAGGCCATACCGGCGCGTCGCAATATGCAGAATTAATTGTTAGTGATTTATTTTGTGACCAAATAAATACCTGCCAACATTTGATTTGGTTAAGTACTTTCGTAAACAATTGTTTTGATTTCAAAATGTTGTCAAAGTCAGCCACGACTTTGGACATGTTTGTTGGTGACTGTATGGGTCGCACGTATTCAAGCATAATGACCTGCTCCAATGACCACATGATGCGAACCTGCAGCTCCTTATATCAATAGTACCAAAAGTGGATAAATTATTTTCTTTAAACATTAGTTTTTTCTAAAATACACTGCTATTCAAACAAAATGTGCTTAGGGCGCATTTTTTGTTGCTCTCTTAAACGGTCTGGGACGCTCCGTAGTTTTAATAGTTAGAAGTTGTTACAAATAAGTTTTCTCTACTGTTGAGATCTGATAAGAGAGTTTTAAATGAATGTTATTAGTTTTCAAATCACCATTTGTAATAACAAGCGTCAGTAGTGAAATACGTCATTCGTCAATTTCATCACGAATATTCTACTCAAAATGTAACAGTGTTTGTAGGTGACACTAAGAGTGATCAGCGACGAACCTGGCATAAATCAACGTTAACAATGGAGTTGACTGCAGACTTTAAGATATCACAAAGTTACCATATTTCTGGAGCTCTCCGCTACTGTCGACAAAATCTATGTTAGTGGCGTGGTAAGCCAAAGTGGAATAGCAATGACTACTAACTACTTAAGGTAATCATCAAGCTCAAGGTTACTGAAGTAACACAGATTGGCTGAATACGAATTCAGGAAATAGTTGAGATCAAATATCCCAAGTCGACCGAAATTGAACTTCTGTCATCAATTTAATGGTACAAAAGTCCACTGTTAACGGTTAAGTTAATTTCCAAGCTTAGGCTTTGCGTCAATATTGAAAGACGGTTGCATTTTAAGGCTGCTAATCGAAGCCAGTAGCATAAGGAAACCCATTATTTCGGTTAAAGATCAATGATTGGTGAAATTGCTGTTAGGAATTGACCAAAACAAAGATTTTTTTTTGAAAGGAGACATAAAATCCGCATATACTGCTAATACCAGAAATCTAGCCTTGTTGATGGCAAATAGCTAATTTCTTTTATTGTGTATGATGGTCAGACGTTAAGACGACAGATATTTGGGAAATCAATCTAGAGATAGAAAATTGGGGACATTATGAATCGTGGAGAAATTAAACCGCAGTTTAACAGTAACAAGTGCGCTAATTACAGTAAAATCTTCGTCCTTTAAATACGCTTAATATTAGAGTCGAATAGTATGAGCTACTTGACCACATAAAAACATGTGTCACGTTAATGTAATGAAGGTTTTCAAAATTTAAAGTATAACTGCTATATTAATGGAATTTAGTGTTATTCAATTAAGGAATATCAATTTCATCTAAAAAAGGACAAATGCAGTGAGTTAACAGGAACACTGGGATATTAAGCCAATATCTACACGGAAAGGCCATTTAATTAAAATCACAAGATAGTGTGCATTTAATCCGTTAATTGAAAAATTTTTTGCTTACGAAATATTAAAGTAGGCAAAGAGGAACTGTCTGAGTACACAATTTATGACTGAATACTCCAACAGATGATACTTTCATAATTACTTATATCTTTTTGTTATAACTCGTCTTTTTGTAGAGAGCTTGTGTGAATTCCCCACCAAAGTCGCAATGTGAGTTCTTGCTCCATCTATGCTTGTTCAGATTTTGAGAGTCACACGAAAACCCGAAAATTCACTCTTATTTTTAGTATATATTTAAGAAACCTTCTTTTATTATGTTTTTTGGTAGATCCACTTTCCTGACAACTCTAACAGTGCTCCCGTGTTAACTAACGACTTCTTGTTTTGCGAAGACTTGAGGTGCATCATGAATTGCTTGCTCTTGTAAGAATTTTCGTGGTACGGTGATATTATAGTGGTACAGCGATTTGTCTGTTAGTTTACTCTGGTTTCCTTCATCACATGACACATTTATTTAAGCCTACTAATTCTTGCTAGGGCTTGTAATTAGTGGATAAAAGGCTCTTTCCCGCGTGTAAGATATCAATCACTCTCATAAATGCAATTTGCATCATCTATATATTTTAGTAGATGTGTTGCCCTGGCGTCGAATCTAACGACTAATCAATATCTAAACGCCTTATAATCGTAGCATTTGCAATTCTCCGCTGAAGTTGTTTCGTTGGCAGTGAGTTTTCAGTAGGGATTTTAAACGTTGCGATTATGGAGCTATAGATTTGGAAGTTTGGTCTGCCCAAGGTTTTGTCAATTGTTTGACGCTTATCTCATCCCCTGTTTACATTCGAAATTTTCATGGTTCTTTAACTTATTTTAAAATAATATGACTTTGGATCGAATACCCATGAAAACATCCCAGCTGTAATCAGAATTTTTCATCAGCAATCTGCCAATGTGTGAAGTGATATTCTTAATTACCTTTTCAAATTTTGTGAGCAGATTTCAATCAATTCGAACATGTCAGGCTTGCTAAAGCAAATAATGTGTTGTTTCAAGGCATCAGATCAACGTCAACTGTACCATTGAGTGGCTAGTTTGTGTCGCATTAGACCTGAACACCTTACTGTTTTCTTGCTCCAGCCAAGCATGTCGGATAATCTGGACATGTTGGATCCCGATGACTACATCTTCGGTGTTGTCCACCTGCCACCAGGTCGGAGCGCTGAGTCTCTTCTTGGTCCCTCCATGGAACCGGTGCTTCGGTGGTTCTTTAAGAAGCTAAGCAAGCAGCCCTCAAAACCACTGCGCAGACGTCTCCCCAGCGTCAACGGCGAGGAGGATCCCACGGCCGATGGCCTGGAGCTCACCTCCGAGGGCGCCTCGTCTCAGGGCCGACTGCCGTTTGTCGGCCCCTACTCCAAAGGGGGCTACTGCCTGCGACAATTCAATACCTACCGTTTGCAGATTCGTCCCACCAAAAAGTGTGTTGTTGTTGTTGTTGTTTATTTGCAATTTTTTCGTTTCTCTCATTGCGTTAGCCCTCCCAGAGGCGCCAGCCTCGGTGGTAGGCAGACGTTTCGGTACGTGTCCAATTAGGCCTCTGCCGTCTACCTAAAGTCAACGCAGTGTACTATTACCGCCGTCGGCATATGTTGCTTGCTTTAATTGCCTCTTACTGGCACTGCTATGTAATGCGAACTGAGAAGTGTTTTCTAACGCCCTAAACAGAGTCGGCGAGGTCCCCCAATCCGACGACGTCTCTCCGACATCCCAAGGTGACACCGTAGAAATGCGTGTTCCCACCAAAAAACGCCATCGGCACGGCGCAGCCACTGACGCGGCACTCTCCTCGTCGGATGTTGATTCTGGGCCCATATCTTCCCATAAAAAATCGAGGAAGCTGGAAAAACCGGAGCAGGCTTAACTCCTTTTCACCCCTTCCCCCCTAAAGCCATAGTGTACAGTGTACTTGGTATTACCAGCATCTTCCTTCATTACCCGGGCATCCCCCTTTACCACCCCTCGATTATTGTACATTTGGTAAATTGTCAACGAATCTGATCTGTTGGACCAATAAAAATTCATTTACCTACACATACCCACCCTCCCTTTTTGGTTGATTTGTTCGCGGTAGAATCTTTAACCCTCCTCAACAGGCGGCTGGACACCGCGCTTGTTTGTATAACGCTTAATCGGAACAAAACCTAGTACGCGCTCCTCACACACTGGTTCTAGCCGTGTGTGTGTGTGTGTTTGAAGGCCGGCAGTACCGCCCGATACGATACTTTCTGCTGCGTCTTAGCGCATCCCACCAGTGTATTGACCATCTTCATTTTAATGCAAAGAATACTGTGGGACTGAGATTTGAAGACACATGGTGTTACCGGACGGACAATCTCGGCACGACATCGCTCCGGCCGATATGACCTTGAGGAGGAACAACGCGACAAACCACACTGTTGGAACCCACTACTTCAACAAAACAAAACACTTTCCTGTCAAGTTCGAATCCCACAGCGCTGTGAAGTCAGGTGTTACCAAGCTGAAAGAGGTGTATCGACGCATCTGCGCGCGTGTGCGTGATAGTATGTATATGTATATATGCTTATATAAGTAAATATTTGTATAGCAAACATGCACTAGGGTATGTGTGAGGATGGGGTCGAGTCAGGAAAACTGTGCGTGTATGCACAGTGAAGACGATTAGCCCACACGCACACGCCCAGGGAGACGGAGAGAGAACAAGAAAACAGAACACTGTGGAAATAGAGAATAACGAGGGTGGTGGGGGGCGGGGGGTAGTGAACTGGTTGGAAAAACGCAAGCTCAGGATTGTGTAAATGTACGTATAAATGCGGGATTTGCATGCGTGGAGAGAGAGTGAGGGACTGGGACAGGCGTCTTCGTATCATGCCTGTCCCTCGCGGTACCGAGTGCTGGTTGGCGTTGACTGGACCATTCCTCCGTTGTACGCCTGTTGTTGCTGGTGTTGCGCCTGTGCCTGCTTGTTGCTCACTGAGGGGGCAGGCGCGGCGTTCATGGCCATCATCATGCCGGGTTTGGGTGTCTCCGTGCAACCACCGCCACCGCCGTTGTTCGTGGGAATGCCCGTGGGGATGCCGTACTCGGAGTAGTCACGAATCCGCGGAGGCGGTCCCACCAGCAGACCCGAGCCCGACAGCGATCCGCCGCGGCGATTCAGACTGTCCATCATCATCATCTGACTTGGGGGGGGCTGGAAGTACCCGCCTTGGTGTCCCCCCATCTGGGGTGCGGGTGGAGGAGGGGGAGGCTGACTGGGCGGTGGCAGTGGCCCCCCGCCTGGTCGTGCTCCCACCGCCGGCGACGCTGTAAAACAAGAAAAATTATCAAAATCTGGAAAACTCCGCTAGGGTACAATGCTATGTAAGTAGTTACAGCCGAGTGCTACAAAATGATCTACTAACATAAAATAAGTAGCGAGTGTTTTATCACATACTGCCAAATGAGGGAGTGCTCTGATCGAAAGACTGGTTTCCAGAACGTGGGTTGTCAATCTGGCTGTTTTCACCGACGCCATTCATACTCTGCTCCAACCCTGCAGCTGAAGGTGGGCTTCCACTGAGGGTGTTCGGAGGTCGTCCGTTCACCACGTAGCTCCTGCCTTGACCTTGCTCGTCCATCATCGCCATCATCATGTGGTCGTTGTAACCGGGGTACTAAAAGGGGTAAGGCAGACTAAATACCCACACGTAAATTGAACGCCCGCCCCCCCGTTCTGGGCCGGATACAATGCCTGTCTAATAAACAGCCAATACAATTCGAGAACACGTCGTTAGCCAATCAACGCGTGGTGCCGCCGCCTACCTGTTGCTGTTGTTGATCGCCGTACTGGTAGCCGTCACTAGGCATGCCTTCGGCGCCTTCGCCCGCGCCGAGTTGCCGCTGTTGCGGGGTCTGCTGCTGTTGCTGCTGCTTCCTACGACGTCTGCGGTGGTGGCGGTGACCGCTGGCGCCAGTGCCAACTGGGCTGCCGGTCACGCTGTTGCCCGTCAACGTCCCCCCACCGCCGCCGCCACCTCCGTTGAGACCCGCCGTCTGGCTCCCCGACTCCGTGTAGCCTAGGTTCATCTACAAGGTCATTAGAGCAGTCGTCAGCCCATTACTGATCCACGTGGAGTGTGCGGTCGTGCACTACGGACTCACGTGATTCTCCTCTGGCAGAGGATTGAGGTGGGCGTGCGACTGCGGATGGCAGACGTCCTGCTGAGAGAAGTATGAGTAGATGGACTCACCGTCCGTGTGATGGCCCATGCTGTGGTGTCTAGCGACATACAAACAAGATTCCAAAGTAAGCACATTTGAACCAACTAACTCCGGATGGCCCGTGACAACTGTTGACCAGTGTTACACGGGCAGCTAAATAATCGGTATCAGTCAAGGCTGAGTAAGAAGCGACACCTGCCTACTTATACATTGTTAGTAGTAAAGACATTTTCAGTGTTGAATACCTCATAAGAGCGGGGTCGGGTGGCGGAGGTTGTCCGGGGTAGAATGGAACACCGCCCATCTGGGGAGAGCCGGCCATCATTAGAGACTGCTGGTGTTGCTGGTACATGGACATCTGTTGACTGGGGCTCAGAGGGTAGCCGGCAGCGCCGCCAACGCCTTGCATGTGGAGGGCCTGTTGACTGCCAGCCTGCTGGAAGTAGCCCGGTGGGGGCAGCCCGGAAACCGGCGAACCCGCGGGCTCGTTCAGCATCTGCACGTGCGGACTCATCGGGCTGCGTGCGAGCAGGGTCGCTAAGGCGAGAAGAAAAACCAACGACCAATCGAAATGTGGTCCGCATGAATCACGAACCAATAAAAAGGCCGGGTGACTTGAGCCGACCGATCTTGACTAAAGTGGACACTAGACGACACAGCCCAAGTACTCACCATCCTCGTGCATCGATCCACTGCCGTTAGTGGGCAAGCCGTCGCGCTTCAGTGAGGTCCCGGAGTGGGTGCTGCCGCCGTAGGGGTAGCCCTGGCTCTGGCGGCGAGACATCGTGTCGCCGGGGTGTTGTGGGGGCAGGTAGGCTGCCGGATTGTTTGTCGCGTACTTGGGGAGGGAATAAAAAGACAACACATCAAAAACCGGCTGCTGTTACCTCTCTGACACCCTGCATTCAAGGTGGCGAGCGTAAGTTAATTACCATGAAGGGTTGCTGGCCCATGACCTGTTGCTGAAGGGTCTGTTGGTACAGGCGCTGTTGTTGGTACTGTTGGTTGTAGAAGTCGCGCATGAGAATGGCCTGCTCACTCTGGTCGCCTCCTCCTCCGCCCCCACCACCGCCTTGATTGAGGACCTGTTGGCTGCCGAAGGGCGGCGGGTGTGGCGTCGCCCGCATCGTCGACCCGCTGTACCTCGCTGGTCCACCGGGCAGGGTGCTGCTGTGGAACATCGGGCTGGCCATCCCGCCGGTCGGAGAGAGGAGCAGCGAGTGGTGCGACTGGTGGTGGTGCGGCTGTGGCTGTTGCCCGTAGTAACCAAAGTGCAGCGACGGATCCATCATCGCCATCTGCTGGTGAGCAAACTGCTGCTGCTGTTGTTGTTGGTGCTGCTGCTGTTGGAAGCGTTGGGCGTCGGTTTCGGAGAAGTTGGACTGTCGCATGAGCGTGCCCATCATCATCGCCTGACCCGCTGCTCCCTGCGCGGCCTTGACGGAGGGCGAGGAGGGACGCAGATCGTCGCCCCTCTGGTTAGTCTGCTGCGACTGGTACTTGTCGGTTTCACTGTGACCTGCCACGAAACCATCTGAGAAGACAATTTGCACGGAGAGCGCATTAGATCTCTCACCTGCCCACCACACCCAAGTAGCCAGCACTCAACGAAACCATTACTTCACCGAACTTACTGTGCTTGGCGCGCCTCCTGCGACGGTCCTTGCGCTGCCTCGCGACACACATAACCACGAGGATCATGATGATGATGAAGATGATCAGAGCCAAAGCACCCAACCCTATGAAAATCGGCTTGTTCTCTGTCACGGCACGAATTAGGCTAAAGCTGCCGAAGCCCGGAACCTGGAAAACAACAGACGCCTATCAGGACGGTGGGTAGTCAAAAAAGAGAGGTAAGAACTAGCTGCGAATAGTTGCTCGATTTGGTGACAGTAATTAGAACGGGTAGGCGAATTGACTGATGATTATGATTGGCTAAGTTTCGAACCCTGTTGACAAACCAATCGTTTTTGGGGCAAAGAAAGAGAACACACTCGGAAGACCACTGAGTGTGAACAAAAGACAGGCAGTTATAGAACGGAAATTGGATTGATTGCTACCTCAGGAAGGGTGGCGAATTTCGCCTCGGAGAAGCGTGTTATGCGACGAACGCCGTTTTCATACTTCACACCGTACACCACCAGCTGATAACTGACTGACGTGTTCAGGTTGTAGATGAAGCCCTCCTAGATTACAAGGAAAAGAACAAAACGCGGTGAGTCAAGCGACTGCAGGCGTCGGCGACTTGGGGAGCAAGGAACGCCTTTCTTTGACTTGCCTTGGCATCCGACCCGTTGACTTGCGTCGCCCTGTATCGTCCGAACTTGACGACGTTGTCGGCTTTGCCGGCGCCCTCGTCTCCAGGCTTGGCGTCGTTCTTGAGGACGGGCCTCACGAGGATAAGGAAGAAGTCGGGCACAAAAGGCTCAAACGACGCGGACTCGTTGGCCCACTTCAGGTTCTTTCCATCACCGTCGTACTCCCACGTCACATTGAAGCGCCCGTCGTGCTACATAACCAAACAGCCACTCAATTAGCACACTTGACTGCACCCAGTGCCAGCGTGGACACTCACGTGTGGACCAGACTACATGTCTGTTTAAAGATAGAGTGGGACTGAGAGGGAGGCAGGTAAAGGGTGTGCGGAACCTACATAGGGCTGGACAGAGGTGATCCTGGGCGGTGGCGCGTTGCTGATGTGGTGGGTGCTCACGGAGTCCGACCAGCCCGACGGCGGAATCGCGTCCGCGCCACTGTTCGGGGAGACGGCTCTCACGCGGAAACGATACGTCTTGCCCGGCTCCAGTGGTGGACCAATCACGAAGCCGTAGTTGTGCTTCCACTGAAACAACATAACCGTGTTCAGTCATTTAGAATGATTGGTGTATGTATTCATTGTTGCAGATTTCTTTTCTGTAAGTTTAAAATTATGGCCAAAATAGGAAGCTGTTTCGCGGTCTTTTTGTGGGTTTAAAATAATCAGGCGCCAGGTTTCAGAACACTGCACGACAACTCGGCGTGGGTTACAGTGCCTCTCAGAACGGTGGAGTTTACGATGGCAACTGGTAAATGGCGCATTCGAATGCCATCAAGGAAAATGCTCCTAAAGCACAGGGAGGAATTAAGTTGTGATGTCCTTGATGCTGACGACGTGTCTTATGAAACGTGTGCTTATCGGCACACATCTTTTCGAAGTGGTGATTTCGGACAAGGTGACAAGCCGCACCCCCTGACCGCGGCCTCGAAGGTTTGAAGATGCGAAATTGCCAGCTCTACTGGAAGAAAACGAGAGCATGCAGCTCGGTTCGGAGTCACTCAAACAGCTATTTTCAAGCGTTTGATCCACCAAATGGCAAACTGTCAAACCCTTGGAAGTTGAGTCCCTCCACATGTGTTAACCGAACACAACCCCCCAAGTCAATTCAAGTCAATCCTAAACATGAGAAGTCGTGGGTAGATGCCGGGTAACTCAACACATCGACGCTGAAGCAGAACATTCACGAGAAGAAGGAGAAGACGAAGAAGGTTCTCCAGTGTATCTCGTGGGATATGAAGGGTGTGCATCTTTGAGGACTCAATTGGGAGTCTGGTCAGACGATGATGGCGGAGTGAAGAACTTGATCAGAAGAGGTCATATAGTGGGCAAGGAAACAGGCAAGTCATACTGCTGCTGTTGCTGCTTGACAACGCTCGACCACCTCACGTTGCTCGCCTTGCGACACTCAGAGGACCCTCTTGAACTTGGGCTGGGAAGTTCTCCCACATGCGGCATATTCACTAGACTTTGCCACTTGTTCCGTTCAATGCAGCAGCACGCCTTAGTGGATAACCAGGTCGAAGCGCTAGACGGTATGCGTAAATTCGTCGTCTTCGATGACTTGATTGCCTCGAAGCCTGGAAATTTCGTTCGTGACGGCATTTGAGCATTACCTGAGAGATGGCGCGAGGTCATAGAAAACGATGGCCACTGTTTCAAAGAATAATTTCCTTGTTCCTTCTTTATGTTTAATCAATTTGCTGAAAAAATCTGTAAAAGTAAGTCATGCGCCTAGTAATTGGCTGTTAGAAGTCGTTAGTCCTTCTTGTACTGTCCATGTCGGATGACGGCCCACATTTTGCGCCAGTGTTAACCGTTGATGAAGAACGCGGCCGACTCATGAAGTTTACCCACTTCGCCTCCTTTAGGTCTGCTCCACATTGTCAACGTGCAGCCCAGCGACGAGGGCTCCTACCTCTGCACCTCGTCCCTCGGTTTCGTGTCGACAGCCACACTCAAGGTAAAAGGTAAGCAGTGCTGCGCTACACTCACCACCTTTGGCGAGTGTGGGCAACCCGCGTTTTCGCGTGCAACCCTTTGTGATGTTGGTGTTCGTGTCCTGCTGCCCTGTACCTGCCTATATCGTGCTTCCCTGCATCTCTAATTGAGGGATTAGACGTTATCTGCGCAGAACTGCCTGTGCATGATATCAGATTCTAATCCCACTTCAACCACTGATTTTTACTTCTTATTGTGTTGGGGGTACGCAAGCACGAGTAGCAAACCCACCCTCGAGTGTGCAAAACTAAGCACTCCAAGTATTAAAAAAGAAAAGTCGAAGAAAATATCTTATTGGTTGATTTCCTGGGACACGGAATCTAACTACTGTAATTGCGTTCTCTTAATTATCCGACTTGTTCACATTCCTGTCTGCTACTTGTAGTGAAAAACATGTTTTATGACCTAGTGGGTTATATCGGTTCGGAGAAAGGAGTTGTTCTTTAAAATCCTGACAACAGTTTTCGGTCCAAGCCTGTTTTTTGTGGAATTTTGCGCAGCCTTGACACCAGGCGTCCGCAGTGCGTTCATTGTTTAATCACGGCGCCGAATTATTTGCTGCTTGCTCCCAGTTCTAACAGTTTATGTTGCGGCATCCATTACTCGCCCTCCAAAGCCTTATTTGTTGTAACTAACCTAAAATTGTGGAATTTTGAGAACAAACTAGCTCATTCTGCACCTTCATTCCCCTCTCAAACTCTTGACGGCGTTCGATTTTCCAACACATCACTTTTACACTACCGATAAAGGACTTAATCAATGGTTAGTACTCCGTGTCTCTCAGTTGTGACCTCACCTTATTTTGCCGTGTGGTTTACGCTCAAGTCACTTTCTTACCTAACGGGTAGTTTCCAGATGCTTATGCAAACCTAACAGGATGCACAAGTTGATTAGACCGCTCCGTGGATGCCCAGGTAGGGGTCCACAAGATGCACATCCTAGGAAATTTGAAAACGACCTCCCCACGTCCCCGTTTCATCGCCCTCCTCGATGTGTGCGCGGGTGTTTTCGTTTTCCAGTGTTCAGTTTGGGACCGGGGCGTGGCGAGAGTGCGACGTCAGTTACGGCAGTGGAGATTTGTCATGCGCTAATGCGTCTGTTTAATGTCATATGGCTGCCTGTTGTGCTGACGAGGAGGGCCGATTTTTGCTAGCAAAACGCACCCGTTATTAGTGCAGTTGAGTTTTTTTTTCTCGGGACAAATCGGTCCTTGCAAGTGGAGATTTCGATGCTGTGGACAGGATGACACGCCAAATTAATATTTGTGTTCCAAACGTGAGTCAGACGTAGGGCGGGTAGTGCAATCAAATTTCTTCTTGAGCGCTCGGAATGCCGACCGCGTGCTTCAATGCAGTCGGATGCCATGCTTGGTAAAGGCCCTTTGGAAGTGGTCTACCGGATCTTGAAGCGAGGAGTGACAATGGCTGTTGTACCTCTTCTTACTGTTCGATCGAATTTTAGCTTTAGACGGTGACCTTTTTTCACTATTGTTGCCCTCTTCGTACAATTAACGTATACTTTTCCCGTTGCCATTCGTTGATTAGTCGTTTCAGCTATTCCTGGGACGCGAATGTCTATCCGTAACAGACCCATAACTGCGCATTTCTGAATGAAAGTCATCAAGATGTGTTCACGTAGTCTGCCTCGGCTGACAGTAATCGCTTCTCACGCAAATAAGCGTACTGGTGTCCAAACAGTCACTAATAAACTAGGTAATTAGTGTTCATGAGTTGCTACTTGTAGGGCGGCAACACAAACCGACTAAGTTGTGTTTTGGCACGTATTTTTGTTGTGTTGTGATTATCGGGCACATAGTTTGCACAATGCCTCTCACAGTCGTCACTTAAACCCTTGAGTTGACCTGATACCTTGCACCACCGCCTTCTCACTGGTTGTTCTGCCGACACCCTTCAGCCCGCCTGCAGTTGAAGCAGTCGCCGACCGACGTCCGCGTGCCCTTCTTGGGCAGTCGAGCCGAGTTCCGCTGCTCCGCCTCCGACCCCTCCGTCGCGCCGTTCTGGCTCTTCAATGGCAAGCCCGTCAGCACAGCCAATCGTAAGTGCCCTCACAAACCTTGTCATTCCCTTCTTTCGTTGCCTCCCACGATATTGAGTTCCAATTCAAGCGATTAGTCCTCGTGAATGCTTGTTGAGCAGTCAACAACCCTCCAATTATGAACTGTGCTGCCTCACTATCGCTGTAATAATTAAACTGTTCCACGTAGTGGTGGATATGTGCTGTTCGAGTGCATTTTTGAAACAGTAAACACGATTTTGATGCGCGCAATCACCCAGCGTCGCGGTGTTTGGATCACATGTGCACAATTTTTTTTGTCAACCCCTGGATTCGAGCCCCGCCTATTGCGGCGACGGCGGCGGCGGCAGCCACAAAACCTCACGCTGTGGTCAGTTGCATCCTCTCATTCCACATTGCAGTCGCCTGGCTGTAGCTTTTCATCTGGCAGTCCCGTTCCCGGCGCGTCGAGGTCGTAAAATGGCACGGATGTTTTGCCTTTCGCACCCCTTCCTGATTGCCCTGAAGGAGTTGGGGTGTGTGCGTGCGTGAGGGAGGGAAAGAGGGAAGGGGAGGGGTATGATGCGTGAGTCAGACAGGTAATGCTAGCCCAATTTTTTGCCCAGTCGCTCGTTTTCTTGCTGCAAAAAGTGCAGTGGGTTGTAGTTTTAGGTGTCTTTCTTGTCTTGGCTAGTTTTCCAAAGTTGAAAGCAGTTTTATTTTACAGTACAGCAAAGACGGATGTTTACCGACACACAGTCGCAGGCGTGATGGGGGAGTTGCTGTCACCTGGTGTTAACACAGCTTCGCCAGCGTATGCGTTACCGTTTTTCTGGCAAACGGAGTTTGTCTTAACCCCTGATTACTAAGTTAATCGCAATGTGTTTTTGGTCGTTGTAATGGGAGAGGTCTCCCAGCGACGTGGCTAAAAGCTGGTAGGAATCGCCGGAGGTGAAACGAATTCTTAAGTGATGGTCCTATTTTTTTTTGACGAGACGTCGTGGCTAAAATGACCCCGTCAATGTCCGGAGTTGCTCAATACTTGGACTAATTTGTTGGTTTCTAGCCCAGCTCTTGGTGGTTGCCTCGGTGAAGGAGAGTGACCTCGGCATCTACCAGTGCATCATCAGGTCCCTGATGCCGGACGGACGCACGGACGAGTGGGTCTCTGCCTCAGCGGTGTTGGCTCTTCAATCCGACAAGCTGGTGACAAAAGGCAAGTCTGCCTCTCTCATCTCCAGATCTTTTTTTTCGAGCCAACTGGCCCAAATTACTGTCGAATTCGATCATTCCATGCATCGCTGTTCTTGTTTTAGCCACGGATTTATCTGCTCTCGTCGCCAACTCGCACAAAACCCCGGAACACCAAGAACGTGAGTGCCAGTGCTTCGCGGCAATCGCCGTCGTTACTTTTTTATCTTCCCTTCTTCCTCAACTCCTACGTGCTTGCCCCTTCGTTGATACGCTGTTAGCATCACTTTTAAATACCCGTTTCCCCTCTTTTAGCTAGAAATAAGCTCTTAACCGTGTGTCGATCAAAGGACTCTACAGTGCCAGTACTTTATGTGATCACTTGACATAATCGTATTTACTTCATAATCTTTTAATGGGCCTGCCGTGGTCGACACGGAATCGTAGGACGGGACTGATGGTCAGCGGATCGATGATATTTCCACGTAATTTTGACGCCGCAGTTCGATGTCAGCGATCCTAGTAATTATGCTCTTTGATCGGTTCCATGCATCTTGGCGCTTTTTTGTCTATCAACGCACCAATTGCGTCCCGAGTACATTAGAGGCAACCAATACGCGCGTCATATTTTTTTAGATCCTTTATTATTGGAGATCTTTAATTTGCCTAAAATTCTGCACTAGCACCTAATTTTGCTGCCCCCAACGTGCCTTGTACACAAATGTGCTGCGCAGAGCTTCTAATTAAGCCAAATTTTACCCCAATTGTGGGTCAGGTTGATCAATTCACACGCGCCACGCCCGCTACCACCACCTCCTGGTCACTCCCTCTTCCCGCGATGCCTTCGTGTTTGGGTTTTTCGACAACCATCTCGGCTAAGTGTATGCTGCCTTGGTATTTTCCTTATTTCCACACACACACACAACACCGAAATATGTTTGGGCAGTATCTTGGCTCATTTTTGCTACGGAAAAAAGCGGCCTAATCTACTGGTAGTCAGATGTGGCACCGACTAGCCTCGGGGTCGTTGATTTATGCCGGTAATGTGTAGACATTTTTGTGCTGAATCGTTTTCAGAGTCCATCAAGGAGATGACTCCTCGCGTCGAGATGGCCTTGGACAACTTCGCCGTGTACCTGACGTGGACGGCGAGCGACGAGGCGCTAGGCGAGGGCTTCTACGGCGACGCCGGTGCGTCCGCCCACGGTCTTCTTCAGCCCCCGGGCGCATGGGGTGGCCAGCCGATGCTGCCGCATCCGCAGCCCCCGCAGGCATCTGCCGACGTGCACGATGGTGGTGGCGGTGGTCGTGGTGGCCAGGACGTCTTCTATCAAATTGAGTATGCCACTCTCATCAGCCAGCCTGTGCTCAATCCGGCGCTCGTCGGCCTAGTGCCCCCAGAGCCAGCCGTGTGGTCGAAGACTGAGCGTCTCGGGACAAGGGTATGTCGCATTCTCACACGCATATTTTTTGGCAAATTTATTTAATATAAAAAGTAGAGGGCAACGCATCTGATCCTGGAAGTATTGTCCATGACCTTGCGCCATCTCTCTGGTAATGCTCGAATGCCGTCACGAACGAAACTTGCAGGCTTCGAGGCAATCAAGTCATCGACGACGACGAATTTACGCATACCGTCTAGCGCTTCGACCTGGTTATCCACTAAGGCGTGCTGCTACATTGGTCGGAACAAGTGGCCAAGTCTAGTGAATATGCCGCGTGTGGGAGAACTTCTCAGCCCAAGTTCAAGAGGGTCCTCTGAGTGTCGCAAGGCGAGCAACGTGAGGTGGTCGAGCGTTGTCAAGTAGCAACAGCAGCAGTATGACTTGCCTGTTTCCTTGCCCACTACATGGCCTCTTCTGATCAAGTTCTTCACTCCGCCATCACCGTCTGACCAGACTCCCAATTGAGTCCTCCAAGATGTTCACCCTTCATGTCCCACGAGATACACTAGAGAACCTTCTTCGTCTTCTCCTTCTTCTCGTGAATGTTCTGCTTCAGCGTCGATGTGTTGAGTTACCCGGCATCTACCC